AGCTTCTCTAACGAGGATGTTTCCACATGGTACATGAATTAATGAGACCAGGTACAGATAAAACAAGCAAATATAAGGTGTCGTCGCCCGTAGCTCAGGGAACATACTGGACTAAAGTCGATTGTAAAAATGAAAACGCAGCCATCGGGAAAGCGTAGACAAATGGCTCTCCAAGCATCCAAACGTAGTCTCATGTAGCATAACACACCCAAACTCTCCAAAACCTCAGCTTTCCTCTCGTGGCTGTATATTATGTTGTATATATTAAAAAAATATAAGTTAATATCAGAACGGGCATTGCTGATCGATATATATGCAAGTAAGAACAAAAAGAAAGTAAAAAGATGTAAATTGTTTGCCAATCGTTCAACCTGTTTTATGTCTGCTGTTTGGCGTCTTGTGTTTTCTTTCGGGGGTTCTTTATCTTCTTCTTCTTCTTCTTCTTGTTTTTAAAAAAAGTAAAAATATTATTTTGATCAATAAGAGCTCACACTAAAATGTTTTTTATCACTTTATTTTAAAAGACATATTTGAACTTTAGGAGGACTTATGCCAAATTTCTCTCTGGAATTTGACCAGCTGGTGCTAATCAACAGAGCCAACTGTGTGTTTTCGATTTTTCTATGAAACTGTTAATATTGTATGAAGAGAGTCTGAAGAGGACTTGTGTATTTTTCTAGATGTCCAGTATTTATACCCACATTTTGTACTGTCAGACTGTAGTGTGATTGTCATGCTTCACCTCTTTCCTTAAACCTTCCTTTGTAAAGAGAAAGTTACCAGCAGTGTTACTTTGGTAATTAATATTATTGTTATTATTATTATTATTACTGTGTGCAATTTGTCTGTTACACTAGACTTTAATGCTATATTTTATGTAACTATTTCCTAAATAAATACGAGAAACTATTTCCTATTTCAACCTGAGCTGTAGGATGTCTGTGTGTTTTTCTGAGCAATATAGTGAAGGAGGTGCTACGAGCACCTTCATGCACCTTCATGCACGGTGATTCATTTGACCTTTCTTTGAGTGTGAAAATCCAGGTTTGGAGAAAGCCCTCCCCAAAATGTTTCATGGCGTGTAATCACCGCTTCCCCCTCACAATCTGTCAGCAGGGGCTGAAGCTCAGAGCTCTCGCTGCAGAGGGATTTATAACCATTAGTCCCCTGATGGGCAATTATACGCATATAAATAAACGCAATTAGTTTAAGCACGCTTGGAAGATTTCTCTTTCTCTGTGTCTGCCTCTAAAGCATAGGCTTGTAGGTTATTTGATCAGCACGCGAGCAGATTTAAAGTCGAGGTTAAGTAGTATGCTTTTTTTTCCTTTTGTTCTGTGCACCTCCTCAAGGTGAATCACAATGTAAAGAACTGACAGTATTAGACCAATAACCCCTGTGAGCAGCATCTGGTGACTGTGGGAAGGAAGAACTCCCTTTTAACAGGAAGAGATCTCCAGCTGACCAAGTCTCAGGAAGTGGAAGCAACTGGTAGAGGATTAGGAGAAAGCGAAGAGAGGAAAAAATAAGAGAGACATAAGTGCACTGATTTATTATTAGAAAAGACTGTATTAAAATCTCATGAAAACATCACAGAATTTGGTGATGACTACACAGCGGTATTACAAAAATAAAAATGAGTCACAAAGTGCAGAACTTAATGGATTTTCACAGCACTGAAAATATGACTCATAAACTGAAAAGTAGTTCAAGTTCTCAAAGTGAGTTTCAGAGACGTGCAAACGGTCCGGAAGCCAAAGCCAACGTAAATTGCTGCAAATAATAAAATGGAGCAGTAATCAAGTGATTATAAAAGTCTTCCATAAAAGATGGGTTAATTTTACAAGTAATAATCAGGCACACAGTACTATGTACAATGTGTATGCCAAATTCTGAAAACATCTGAAGGTAGCAGCAGCGATTGAGACTCATCAGACCAGGCAACATTTTTCCAGTCTTCTGTTGTGCAGTTTTGGTGAATTTGAATTGTAGCCTCAGTTTCCTGTTTTAAGAGAAGAAGAATAAGATGACTCTTGGTTGATGTCAGGAGTGGCCCTCTGCTCCTGTTGAAATGCTCTTCTGCATACCGCAGTTGCAAAAAGTGGTTAGTTTAGTTAGTATTGCCTGTTTTTACCAGCTTGAACCAGGCTGGTCAACAACAAAGAATTCTAACTGAGAGAACTGCTGCTCACTGGATATTGTCTCTTTTACAGCACATTCTCTGTAAAACCTAAAGATAGTTGTGTGGGGAAATCCCAACACTCAGACCGACAACCATGACACATTCACACTTAAATCACCTTTTTTCTCCATCCTGATGCTCAGTTTGAACCTCAGCAGGCTGTGCCTGAGGGCCTGGAGTTGCTGCCATGTGATTGGCCAATTAGATATTTGCATTAACGAGCAGTTGAACGGGTGGACCTAATGAAGTAGTTGATGACTTAATTAGCCACATGTTCACCAACAGTGGTGTTCACAGGTGTATTGAGCACAGATTAATAAGCTCAGGACCCCAACACCTGCAGCGGAGGGAAACACTGGAGCAACAGCGATGGCACAGTCTTCTCCTCTGAGTATGTACTTAGAATCCAAAACTAGATGATAGTTTTTAAAAAAAGATGGATTGCCTGACTTAATTTAATTGTAAAGATAACATTTTTCTGCTCTGTGTAGTTTGTACTGACAGATGTTACTTAAATAACAAAGTTTAGCTCAGTGCACACAGGCAGGTACAGTTTTGTTACAGTTACAGTGATTCAGTGATAATTATCAATAGATAAATCAATCTATTAGTGTAGGGTCTTTACTTCACAGTGTAAAGTGATTGTTTGGTGCGATATAAATAAAACGGAATTAAATGCATTCAGTGACACACGCGCGCGCAGATAAAAATGTTCACATTACATCTTTTATTTTCCAAAGTAAAGTGATCACATGATACGTCATTAAATGGCGTGAATACCAGTAATAGTAAACGCACCGTGGCCCTCCACCCCACCTTAGAGCTGACTCAGTTACATTAATTGATATTAAAATGTGCGTCTGCACGCAGACTATTTACGCCATTAAAAAAACATACACGCCGCGTGCGTGTTTTATGTGATCCAGGCCACTGAGAGTCTGACATGACCGAAAGATTTTAAAAGCAGACGAGGGGAAAGTGTCTCCCTTTGCGGGGGCTACGGACTCCATCCACTGAAATATTCTGGCGAGCTGTTAGGAAGCACCAAAACGCGCCAATCCAAGTTTTGCGCACGGGGGATTTTATTTGTTATCCAAATCCACACGCCAGCGCCGAGAAAGAGTCACGGTGAGAGGATAACAAGTAATGATGCGCAATTAGTGCGCGGGCACAGGATGAGAAATGGAAACGCCAACTGTGCGCTCCAGTCACGTGAATGCGCTTTACGATTTCTGCGCCCCGGATCTGTCTCCAGGCGCTGCGTGGAGAGGAGACGCGCACTTTGCAGGCAGGAGCTTCTTCTTCTACTACTTCTCATCCCCTCTCTCTCTTTTCTCTCTTTTTCTTCGCTGTCACTTCAGTCAGCCGGGAGAATGAGCGGATCCGAGTCCGGGCTGCCTCTGCGGCGGGTCGACCTCCTTGTCTTATAACAACCTGAGGGAGTCTACGCGTGTTTGTCCCCCCATTCTTCTTCTCTTGGTCTCATGTTTCCCCTCCGAGCATCATTTGGGAGAGAATGCGTCTGCTCGTTTTCGCGACTTTGCTCGGAGTCCTCCTCGATGCGGGTAAGTGCAACTTTGGGGAGACCGCAGTGGTCTCGTATGAAGATAGAAGTCATGTCCACGCACAGAAAGGAAATGCAGACTTCGTTCAGAGCCAGTCGAGATGAACTTTACTTTAAAGCCGGTGTAACATTTTGGAGACTCGTCTTTGTGCCAATAGATAAAGAATAAAAAAGAGAAGCTTTCCAGATGTTTTTAGATAAGTGGAGAAATAGCAGGCAGGATTTATGGTTTTGGAGAAGGAGTGCTCCCCTCCCCACCCCACACCTCACACATCCCGAGCTCATTTTGGAGCAAAGTGGGAACGATAGTAACACCGATCCACGGCAATGACGCCCTTTAAAAGTGCGAGCCGCTTGTTCCCGCTGCTGCATGACTTTCTGCCACATCGCGCTGATAGTATTTAGTTGTTCCGAAGTGCGTCAGGTGATTGGAGTTAAGAGCATGGCGATATAGAAGCAGCAAAAAGGATGTGGTTTGTTTTTCTTATCAGCTTCTGTTTTCTGTAGCGGAACTAAGAAAACGGGGGATTTGGAGCAGTTTTCTAGAAGTGATGAGCAGAGCTCGGGAGCTGGATGCTGCCCTGGTGTCCTGGTTTCAGGAGTCTGCAGGTTTTGCTTGGTTTAAATGTATTAGGGTGGTGTTGTGGTGGTGGATATGATATGAGGACCTTTAAAGTTGGAGGTGAATGCTTGCTGCCATTTAAATGATCGCACCAGTGATCTCTTTAAGCTTGAGTGGGATGTTTAGGGCAGGCGTTTCTGCAGGGATGGATTTTTGAGCTGCTCTGATGAAGATATCCTGGCACGGAGCAGTAAGTGAGCATACGCAGTGATCTGATGAAAAATGCTGAGATTTGATTATATAAATTTATAGACTTTGCTTTTAGTTATGATGCAGAAAGGTGGCACTGAGTCTGTAGATCATCTGATTTTCAACCGTAGCAGTCACTTAAACAGGACTACAACGTCATTGTGGGCACTGTGATGTCTAATTCATATGTTTACTTACACTAACTTTCTTTTCGCCTTTACGGTTTGTGCAGATCTCTTCATGGCATGAGGCATCTCACGTTTTCTGGCAATAGGAGAAGAATAAATATTTTTGTGATTTCTGGGCTCCTTTTGTTTCTCATACAGTATAAAAGTTCATAAAGGCCTATGGTGCTCTTTCAAAATAAAGGCTGAATATATGTATTTCAAATTAATCCTCATGATTTAGCTTGATGACTGCAAGAGAAATATGTCTGCTGCATCTGCGATGACTGACGGAGTCCAGTCCACCTTTTAAATTAGAGCTGATCTTTTAAAGCTCCACAGAGAACATGCAAAGAACAGAATGATTTATTTGAAAAATGAGGACCGAGTAGGTCTTTGAACAGCTCCTGTGGGGTCTGCAGGTGCGCCTGCTGGTAAGTTAAAAGAAGCGGTTGATGAAATTGGCAAAAACCCACATAAAAGTGCATTTTGTATGTTTACAAGAGGTTGCAGTAGCAATCTGGACTCTGGTTTTAGTACCTCAGGGGATGAGGATGCAGATGGGTCATTGTGCACTGGCAGATTACATTTAGCGCGGCAGCTTTGTGTTGTAAATGGAGTTTTATCAGCTATAAAATCCACGGGTTACCAGGGAATTAAGAACAGCCACTCTGAGCTTTGCTGATGTGTTTTCTTTACGGCTTATTCTGTGTGAATTTATAACCTCTCTGCTGACACTCGAGACATCCAATAAAAGAGAGCAAAGAAAAACATGTGCTTTTATGTGCTTCGTGCAGTCAGGAGACCTTGTCTCTGTCCATCTGCTTGTAGGCGTAAAGTCAAAACACCCAGCGGGAGATAAAAAGATGACAGTGCGCTCTCGTGGAGCGCCATTAGTCATGTTTGGAGCAAATATACCGTTGAACAAATGGTATATGTGCTAAAATCTGTACAAGCATCTATCGCTCAACTCTGGGAGAACACAGGGGAGGAAATAAACACACAGCCCCGATTCACAGATACTGTGAACAATTATCAATAATCCAAGAAAAATAGTCCTGTGAAGAGCAGCTTCAAACTTGAGAAAAGTCTGACAAACTTCATCAGTCGTCACCTGTGCTGTTCATATGACGAATAACGGCTATCTAAAGCTACTAACGGCTTTAAAGCTGCTGTTTGAAGAGGACAGGCTGAAGCCCGTACACACCCACAGGATCAGCCATGATGAGGTTTACAGTGAGGGAGAAAGGGTGACATCACCACACACCTGTGGTGGCCAGTTGCTATGGTGCATAACGCCACTCAGAGGAGGGGGAGGTGTGAAAAACCCTGTTGTCTGAGTCACTGAGGTCCAGGCTCTGGAGAGGCCAGTCAATCAAATAAATGTAGCTGTTGCCAATTTGACACTTTCTAGATGGTTTTGCATGGTGGATCAAAATCTGACGGTAGTTTTCTGTGTTCAAAATGTATTCATTTTGACAAGATCTCCAACACCACTGGCTGAAACGCTGCCCCAAACCATGACAGAGCCTCCACCGTGTTTTACAGGTGGCTGTAGACACTCGTTGTTAAGTTAAACTGGGACTGAAAATGAGTTTAAAAGCAGGCAATGTCCGTGGACCTAGTGACTTAATTTAATGGCCAGCAGGGGGTGACTGCTTTTGCTTTTCAGATTGTACACACTCTCCTTGGTTTACGACCTCAGTAAACACTTTTTCTGATCGTTTGATGGACTCAAATGCTAGATTCAAGTTCTAGGTAATGATTGGAAAATTAAAAAAATCATATTGCTTGAAATTTCATAGCTTTGCACAGTCACATTAATCACAGAGCATCATTTATTATCACTCAGTGGTGCATAATAGAAGAATGCAGCTTATGTGCATATTTTTAAGTCTTTAACGTATCAATAAGTAATATCAAAGTTTATTCGGAATGGCTCCAATCTCTCAGGAAGCTAAGATTCCACCTGCTGCTAATCTTGAGTTTGCAAACCTCTTGGAAACAGTGGCTAGGCCTATCTTTCTCATTTTCTTCACAAGATAAAAAAAAATCTAGCCACCTTTTTAAGCTCCGCGTTTTTGACATTTGACAAAAAAAAAAACAAATGTTAAACGCATTCTTTTGCTTATCAAGCTGTGACGGGAGGATTGATTATCCACGTGAAGAACTCTGTAGGGCGGGAAACAAAAAAAGTCCTGCAATAACTGAACATTTCTGCTTCCACTCTGTGTGGCAGGAGATCCCCTTCAGATTCAGTGCTACCAGTGTGAGGAGATGAAGCACAATGACTGCTCCACGCCAGAGTACATCGTCAACTGTACCGTCAACGTACAGGACATGTGCCAGAAGGAGGTGCTGGTCAAATCTGATGGTAAGCCGCTTCTCGTTGTTAGCTCATGAAGTCTGGCAATGCCCCAGTAGAGGCCCCAACGTTACAGAGATTAAAGAATTATGTATGCTTGATGGAGGAATGTCTTTCTTGGTTTTCTCATTCCTTTACGCGCTCCAGAACAGAGTCCATAAAGGTTGAGAGACTGGGATTAATGCACAGTCTGAGCCAGCCAAAAGTACAAAGATAGAGTTTCTGTTTATCAGTAGAAAGAAGGAAGGTGACCGTCTGGAAACCAGAGATGAAACTGAAAACACATCGCTCAGAGAGAACGTGACTTCTTAAGTTTTCTTCTCTGCCATTTAGGTGAGGCTGCCGTAATTGACTACGCTCGTTTTGGTCGTAGCATGACTTTTATTTTCGAGTCACGTAAGTGGTGCCTACATAAACAACTCTTTAAATTAACTGTGATGTTTGCAGATGTGTGTAATTTTCTCTGTCATTAGTGACAAAAAAGAAAGTACCCAAGGATACCCAACTTCTTTCATCCCAAAATACCTGTTAATCGTTGTGTCTTATTGACTGGTCCAAAAGAGCAATCTCCTGTGATTTTCAGTAAAATAGACATTGTTATCTGTAATTTAGTTCCTTTGCTCTGCTTTGAAGGAAAAGAGAAGCACTGACTGATGTGTAGGCTGACTCTAGTGTAGGACTCGGTATCACAGAGGGAACACTGCGCTGTGGTACAGTGTGTAAAAATGTTCCAGTTGTAAACCTACATAAACGTTCCCATCCATTGCTTTTATTTGCAGGCTTGTTTTCACATAAGCCTTATTTGTATTGTGATGTTGTTTTGCTGATCCAAAACCCCAGCCGACTGAAACTACTTCATTCAACTCATTTGTCAAAGACAAGAGGCTTTCATTCAGCTGCCACTGACATAAGATTAGATTAGTTTTGTGCCGCCTTACAGGAAATAAAATAGCTCAGTCTATAGAGTGAAAAAAACTGACAGTTTTGAAAAGAGGTGGGACAATTTTTTAAGCAGACATTTTTTTAAAATCCCAAACTAGTAAACCTACCAGGGGTGACGTGGTAGAAAATGCAAACAATGATTAACAAACCTCCATTTATTGTCTAAAAATGTATAAATATGAAATAATAAAAGGAAAAGTGGATACAACCACAATACGGGTGTAGCGTTTGAACTTTTATTTTACATCCAGAGCAGTATAAGGTAGAAAGTTTAATTTGTTTTGTCCACCAGAATATTATTTTGAGCTATCTCAAAATTTGGACTTACTGAGTATCTTAAAATTTATTAAGTTAAAATTTTGGCATATCTAATTTGAAATTTCAAGGGTTTTTTTTGAGATGCTATCTAACATTTTAATTTATTGATGGTAAAACTAAATAATTAAAATTCAGTAGAAAAATCAAGCTTCCATAAAATATTTATCTGTGTATTTATCTGCTAACATCTGTTTGGCTAACTAGCATAGCCAAGTGTGAAAAGTATTAGCATAGCATTTCTTCAAAGACTAAAGCTCATCATTAACTTTAAGGTTGTTGAGTTAAATCTTATTTAAAGAGCTGTGAAAGATTTCATCCAAGGTGTTCTCAGTTTCTAAACTGAAATTATTAACGTGATTTTCATTACATTTTGAGGACGTTTACACTTTAGCATCCCCAGCTAACATAATCAAAAAATGTGCACAGACAACAGCTTGTTCTTCTAAAAGTCTTTTCTATTATAGTGTTGGGGAAAAAACTTTTTCAGTTTTATTCAGTCCTGTTCCTTTAGTTCAATTTCTTCCATGTAATAAATGTATTTTTTATTTAATCTAGATATTAATTAACCTAGTATCAAACATATTTTTGTAACATTTCTTCTAAGGCCCAAACAGTCATTAGCTATCAGTTTGCCTTGTTCACTCTTGGGAGCTTGTGCAAAATGCTATTAGAATCTGAGCTAAAACTGTCAACAGTAACCTGTTCTTTGTTGGATTTTGGTGTTTACATATAGCTCGATTTTTTTTAAAAAAGAAAAATTTTCTGTTGTAGTACTGATATTAATATAATTAATCCAAGGCTAAAGCACATCATTAATTATCATTTTATTGTGTAAATGTTTTTCCTGCCTTAACAATTATGTTATTATATATATATTAATATCAGTTTAATTTCTGATATTATGCAAATCAGAAATTAAACCAACATTAGTGACTGTAATCTGGTTTTTGCTCCGTTTTTACTAAATTTGGGAATGTTTATTTTTCAACTACTCCAGCCATCTTTACACGGTATTGTGCATTAGCTTTCCCTAACATGTTTGCTAGCCTAGTATTTGAAGTAAAAATATTCTTTATTTTTACAGACTGTCAATATTATGTTTGCAGCTACCTGCAAAAGTCCCTTCAGATAACAAAGTTATCATTGATTGGCTTATCAGATTTTTCCTATTAGTTGTCAAATCTCAGACAGCACGTGGCTTGATGAAGTGTCTTATAATTGGAAGTTTATAGGTTCAGTGTTTGCAACAAAATAGCCTTGCGTGGTGTCCTTGAGTAAAATATTGATCCCTCATAGCATTGCCTCAGATAGTAATTTTAGGCTTTGCCTTGACAGACAGAGAAGCAGTTCTGTAGAAACATGTGCCTTATTACCACATACCAAACAAGCACTATCAAGGGGAAAAATGCTAAGATGCACATTTTTCCTGCCTTTCCACTTAAAGGAACTTCCTGCTGCAGAAATTGAATTTATCTGAATTTGATTTAATCCACACTTTTTTATTGTCCAGCAAAGGAATGTTTCATTTGCAGACAACAGAAACAACCACATGAATAATACAGTAACAATACCACATAGATGACAAAATGCTTCCTATATGAAGCATACCGTAGAAAAACATAACAAATAGCAGCAATAGGTACCAGATAGAGAAATGTTACTTGATAAAGAAGTTAAAAGATAAAAGAAGATTTTTTTCTGTTTGAACACTGGAAACATTTAGAGAGCTCTTGATTATTTTTTTCAGGGATACATTATCGGAAATCGTGTGCATCCTCGGGGGCTTGCCTCATTGCCTCCTCTGGCTACCAGCAGTTCTGCACCGGCAGGTTGAATTCAGTCTGCATCTCCTGCTGCAACACCCCACTCTGCAACGGCCCCAAGAGGAAGCGTCCCACCAACTCGGCGGCAACGACCACCCTGCAGACGAACCGGCCTCTTCTTCTTTTCCTGCTCACACTGCTGCTCCTCCTACTGACGTAGATGATGTTCCCGCCACAACTTCGCTGTACAGTTTGTTTTCTGTCTAAACCATTTAAAAGAATTTACCTTTCCAATCAGAATTACAGTCAAGTTTGTAAAAGAAAGCATGGTGTTAAAACCACATAAGCGAGGGGATAATATGTCGGTAGATTTAATGTTTTTTGTTTTTTTTTTTTTTAAATCAGTGTGACCCAAAATGACTTAGGCACTGAGCTTATCAAACACAACAGTAATTACTCAAGTCAGGGCCAAGAGACAGATTTCTGCAAAAACCAAAGGGTTTTTACAAATTTCCCCATGGGGGCCATTAAAAAAATGCATGTTTCAGACACTTTTGCTTTGCTCTCACCTTGCACACAAGGAAAGTGCATCCATCATTCATGCAGAGTATATTTTTCCATAAATAGATATTCCCTACTGCAGAGCCAGTAATCTATTGCTGCTGAACTTCTACTTCTAAAATAAAGCCTAAGTAACAAAAACCCCAGTTACTTGAATGGCCACTTGAAGGTCACTGCAAAAGGAACCCAGTCCCCCGAGTACCTTTAAATCAGATATACACATGCTCAAAGCATGACACCCCCCGAAAAAAAGAGCTTTGGTTTGTTTCTTTTCAGTAAAACTTAATTTTTATGAAAAGCCGCAGTTACACAGGGCTAGAGACCAGTCTGCAACCATCTGGCAACCACCGGTGCCAAGGGACGAATCTGTATTCCTCAACCAGTGAGATCATGATTGCTTTTGTTGGTAGCATTCAAAGAGGTCTCCTTTTGATTGCTTTAGTCACTAGCCGTTTGCCAGGGTTGTCAGTGGCTGACATGAGAGACACCGACTTATCTGCAAACAAATCAAACAGTGGAAAAACTACAAATAATGCAATGCAAACTAGAAATGCAGTGACCAAATAAAGGTATCTCCTTTTTTAATGTGTTGCTTGCATCAAAAAGGTACAACATTTACTTTGAAGGCAAAGATTCTCTGTGTCTGGTTTGCATCTTTTTCAAATTTTACTAAAGATTGGGAAGTAGTTGGTAAGTGTTTGAAGACAGGTCAGCATCTTCTGTGTAAACCACAGGTATCAACAGCAGTCTGCTAGCAGCCAAAGCAATCTCAAGGAAGTTTTGGCACAGCACCCTCTCTGCTACCAATTTCTCCTGGTAAAAATCAGCAACCTCCAACAACTGCTCTCCATGTGGTTGGTTTTTCCTTGTGACCGCCTAAGTGAGGCCCAAGGCTTCAAGTTAAGCATGATTAAAGGTATGGACAGTACTGCAAGGGATGAAGTACCAAACAAAGCCTCAATGGATAGTCTACAAATCACTGGGTAATGTTATGGTGGCCCGTCTGTCTTATATATACAGTCTATGAGCTCAGCCTGTAGCTTCACCACATAGAGATGGAGCTAAACTAGGTACAGGACCTTTTGTCGGCCCTCTTTTAGGTAAAGCTGATCAAGTGTGAGTTAATGCTTTAGTTCAGAGGTGGGCAACTCCAGGCCTCGAGGGCCGGTGTCCTGCAGGTTTTAGATCTCACCCTGGGTCAACACACCTGAATCACATGATTAGTTCATTACCAGGCCTCTGGAGAACTTCAAGACATGTTGAGGATGTAATTTAGCCTTTTAAATCAGTTGTGTTCATTCAAAAACCTGCAGGACACCGGCCCTCTAGGCATGGAGTTGCCCGCCCCTGCTTTAGTTATAGCTCACAACAGGTTGTCTTAGTTGTGCACAAAACCTGGAACCTATGAGAGGAACCTGACCTGGGAGACAAAGGACACTGTGCTTCTTTAACAGATTAAACAAATAAGTCTTGTTATGTCATTTTGACAGTTTTAGAAGTGAAGGTAGGTGACTCTTGTCTTCTAGACAGAGCGAGGGGGATTGTTTTCCCCTTCTTTCCAGTGATTAGCTGAGCTAACTACCATCTGGCTGTAAAGGTAATGGGCAGATGTGAGACTAGTATCAATCGTCTCATTTGATATGCACTAGAAAGCAAATTAGCATATGTCCTCAATCTATTACTCTTAAATTAGCTAAGGGAAATCTTAATGCTGCTCTCTACAGTGATAACTGCTTTTCCTGCTTTGCAACAGTTTGGAGGCCCTAAACAAATAATTTTTCTCATCTTTTAATAAATGAATGTGAGTGGAGTGCACAAAGCCCTGATTTCAACCAAAATTCAACATCGTTGGGATGAAAACCAAAACAGCGAGTGTTGGATTGTATGTGTTGCCTGAGTTCACTGGCTGTGAGATATTTAACATGAAGGTGAAAAGACTAAACACACACAGAAATGGTTTCAAAGTTACTGTTTTAAGATAGTTTTTTCTTTCTTTCTTTCTTTCTTTTTTTAAAAAAAAAACAAATACATACGATGTGCTTTTTGTTGCCACAGGTCCATCCCGGGGTCTGGACCTTACGAGGAGATTTGGACACCACATCGGCTTCGTAGCTTCTCAGCTTTATGGAAAACTGTTAGTGTTATTGATAAAATGGCGTAACCGCTGAGAGTGACACTGAAACCCCAGAGAAGTGAAAGCATACAGAGCTTTGTGAATCATTGATTGCTCGGGTTTGAAGAGGATGCGGCTGAGGCATCTCTCGCCTTTTTTTCTTTCTTTTCTCTGTTTTTTTTCTCTTTTGGCTTTTTGTGAAGTGGAGCGTTTATGTGAAGAAGCTGGTCTCAAGTTATTTTCTGGTTATTAGATGCTGTAAAAAAAAAAAGTGCTGGTGGAGGTTATAATACTTTTGAGCTTTTTCATTTTCTGGTCTTACGGTTTGAAACAGCGCTGCTGGTTTCATTTTCCTGTCGATGCTGTAGCTGTTTATGCTCTGAATACACAGATTTGACCTTACGAAGCCAAACTTTAGTTTTATTTCTCATATGTTACCGTGAAGACTGCACTTTGACTGAGGCAACAAGTTGAAGGTTTCCCAGCTCTCTTGCATCTTCCTTTCACATTTATGCTTATTCTCCACTATCAACCGTCATTTCTCTTTGTTTCTGCGCTCTCAATCATAGGGTTGCTTATGCGATATAAAACACTATTAGTAGGCATTAATATTCCTGTGTAGAATGATCTATTAAATTGTCTCATAACTTTCATATTACATAGTGCAGAATAATAAGAAAAAAATATAAGTACAAATAAAATTCTCACTCGAGACTTGCTTCAGGTGATCTCTGTCATATTTCCCTTTAAGTATCCTTCATGGCCCCAAAATTATGGTTCCCTCTGCATGCTGTAAAACAAATTTCATAACTGAAACCTGATTTGATTCTCATATTTCAGTGTTCAGATGAGCATTTTAGAAAATTTCTGCATTTATATTTGCCTCTAAATGATCTGTTTGCCTATTTATTCTTATCACGGATATTTGTTTGGCTATCTGTACCGTATCGTATTTATTCTGTGGTGAATGTGCTGTGGACGGCGATGCAGACACTCCGGCGCTGTATTTTAATGCCACACGTGAAGGTTTTAACGGTCCCGAGGAGAGCGGAGGACAAGAAACTGCAGTTCAAGAACGTCAAGAGGAAAGGCATACTTGAGTTTATTACTTCTAGATTTGAAAAAGCTGTGTCAGAGACGGGCCATCTGATAAACTTTTGTCTTTTTATTGATCTTCTGTGAAGAGTAACACTGTATTCTGCTGATATGTGATGTAAATAAATGTTGCAGAAATGTTGCAGAAAAACTGCCGTTAAGCAGCAAGATGTCGTGATTTCACTCTAAGAGCTCGTTCACTTTCTGTTTGAAAACTAAGAAGCTTAACAGATAATGGAGTGCAAAATATTAAACATTTAATAATAATTCTGTTACTTTTTGGAAACTTCTTGGTCTATGTAATAAAGACAATTTAAGGCGGGGAAATTGCAGGACTTCTGACCAAAGCAATAATAATTCATTAAAATGACAGTAGAAGCTAAAAAAAAGGTGATTAGAAATTGTATTTAAGTGAAATAACAATAAAAACAAACAGAAACAATATTGTGTGCTTATAAAACAAACTAAAATTTATAATCTATGGATAGGGAAACGTCCTCGGCTTTAGTCTTCGTCAGTGTGGTCAAATTCGTCCAACAAGCACCGAGACAGTCTGGACATTTATTGAGACCAGCATGTCCGCATGTCGTCAAGTGTTTGCATTGTAATTGCTAGTCTGAACCTATCAAATCTGCCCCTAACAAATGTCACGCACATTACAAATGCTTTCATTGGCCACTTTATACTTTTTCTAAAAACCAATCCCCCACACTATTACACCACCAGCAGACTGAATGGATACAAAGCAGGCTGATCCATGTTTTCATGTTGTTCACACCTAATTTTGACCCTACCGTGTGAATGTTGCAGCAGAAATCAAGACTCACCAGCCCATGCAACGTTTTTCTAATCTTCTTTTGATCAATTTTGACGAGCCCGTGTGAATTGTAGCCTCAACTTCCTGATCTTACCTGACAGGAGTGCACCCGGCGTGGTCTTCTGCTGCTGTTGAGATGCTCTTCTGCATAACTTGGTTGAAACGAGTGGTTATTTGAGTTGCCGTTCGCTTCCTGTCAGCTGGAAGCAGTATGGTCATTCTCCTCTGACCTCTGCCAACAACAAGACATTCTGCGTAAAACAGATGGTTGTGTGGGAAATCACAACAGTTTCTGATGCTCAGCTTGAACTTGAGAACGTGACCATGATCGGTTGTGTTCATGAGCAACAAAAAAACAACTAAAACTAACACTGAAACTAGGAAACACCAAACTGAAACTAAACAATATAAAGTAAAAGAAAGGTCTGCGTCCTTGGCAGCACGGCCTCACCTCTGCTCATCAAGGCAACCTCGGACCCTCAACTCTTATTAGTTTAGCCAGTACTATTAGATCAAGCACCATTTTCAGTTCTGCTACCATAATTGGAAAAGGAGTTCTCTAATGACCAGTCAGCATTTATAACATGATAAACTTACATTTGGTAACACAGGGGGCAACTGCAACACAGGAGCGATGGTTACTGAATGTATGCCTGTGTAGATGTTCCCTTAGAAATCAACAATGAATGGATTCCTTTAATCATACATTTTTATTTACGATATATCTACTGACCTTCTGTGCTCCGACTTACAGAGGTTACTGCTTAATTAAAGTTAATTTGTTGAAAAAATTGCTTTGAACACAGATTCTTTTTCTTCCTTTGCAGTAATTAGAAACAAATTAAGCCCCTTAATAGAATATTGCTGTAAATTTACAGCCACGCTACGTCCAGATGAACATGGAGGATTGAGCATGCATCAAGACATTTATTTCAGACAGTTTGCAGCCTGCTTTCACTTATCGTTATTGAGCAGGAAGCACAGTCTTGTTATGTGAATCTGCAGTTGATAGAAAGACTGCCAACAGTGTAAACGTGATAAAAGTGTTATATCACACAGAGGACTTTATCAGAATGAACAGCCTGTTTTACACCTCTGTCTTCGAGTGGCTGTTTGTCTGGTAGCTCGGTCTTTGAAATTTGCAGCTCATGTATCTACAGATTCATTTTTTTTCTGGGAAAAACAGTTTTCCTCCTCAGTGTATCATTTTAAATACACTGCTGTGAAAATCAGTTTGCCCCCTTCCTGATTTCTTAGTTTTGGGGTCTTTCTTCTTCTTTGTTTTCCATAGTTGTTGCACCTAAATGTTTCAAATCATCAAGGACATGTTAATATAAAAGATAACCTGTGTAAATACAAAATGCAGTGTTTAAATGATGATTTAATTTATTAAGGAGCAGCTCTCAGGTGGGAACACCCCTAAGCTGTGACTTCATGTGTGCTAAACGCTGCCTCGTGAGCTACTTTTCCAGTTTCTTTCCCGACCGTTTTGAAGACTTTTGACAGCCCAGTTGTGGCTGCAATGATAAGCGTCACCAGTAATGGATGATTGACTTGTAAGAGCCATAACAGTGTTTCCAAGTAACCGTTTTCAATTATACGCCTGACAATGCAGCGGTGCATTGTTTGAGACACAATAGAGCAGCTCCCACTCGATGAGTCCTGCAGACTATAGAGAGAAACGTGCAATAATTTTTGGCAAAGCGATAAAAAGACAACCGTCGGCTTGTTGGAGCCATCATGAACGCGGCGACGTTACTCACATTAGGGGAGGTTAAACCTCAGTTTTGTGTGTGTGTGTGTGTGCGTGTTGCTGCTGCAATTTAAACTTTGTGCCTGTCATCAGTGAGAGTCCTGCAGTGTGAGGGCGCGCCTGTATGACTGAGCATCATTAAGCATGAATGCGGAGGAGGGCGAGGGAGTCAGGGCTGATGATCACAGAGGGGAAGTGCCGACTGCAGACCTCTGGGGGATAAGAAGCAGCAAAAAACAGGAGATTATTAAAAATAATAAGGCCCTCCTCTGCCTTGCTCTAATGACGCAGTCACAGTACGACTCTGGCAGCGGAAATACTCAAGCTGACGAGGGACCTCAACTCATCTACTTTTGTTTACTGTTGTCTGGAAATGAGAAGGAAATGATCAGTTCTGGTGTGGGAGGCACAGATCGCAGGACAAGAGAGGACAGCGAGATCAGAAAAGCTCCAGAGGGTCAATTAGCCTCAGATACTGTACACATAGTTAAACTAAATGAAAGCAACCCTCCATCAGTATGTCCAACCTCCTTAAATTCCATTAGCTGCAACCAGCGAATCAAAGCCCAGCTGTGGGCCTTAAATTAAGACGAGACTCTATTAACAGATTGCACTGTCTACACCGTCAGGCCTGGAAAGTGGGTAGAGCCAATAATGATCCTGAATCTGATGACTTGGCAGTCAAGCTGACACAAACTGCTTCCCTCCAATCCACTTTAGAGCACAAACACAAATCTCCATTCCACTAAGTGGGGCCAATAAACACAATTTAGCGCAAAGGGGGAGATTAATCTGTGGCTGTGAGGACGTTAACAAGCATCGGACGAGTGTTAAATACACTCTGCACCTCAGCAGAGAGAAGCAGCTGAATCAAAGAGGGCCAAGTAGAAGAAAATTTATTTATTTTTAAATCCCTGCATTTAACGGAGGCTGTTTAAAAGGTGCAGAAGCTGCTCTTTGTGTGATTCCAGTGAGTGACGCACTCTCAAGGTGGAAGGCCTTGAAAACGTGAGCAGTGGTGCCCTCTAGTATTCAAAAGAGTGACACACAAAAATATGAAGCTCTGAATGACACACTATAAGAGTGCAGAGTGGGGTCAGCACAGTGTTATAGACCTCCAAACTTCATATCGCCTTCAGATTAACTCAAGAACAGTGGATAGAGAGCTTGACTGAATGGGTTTCTATGCCATGGTGATTTACGGCTTCTATATATCCAAGCTTTACATTGGAGAGTTGTGAAGACCTTTTCTCCCAACTTTATGGGAACAGTTTGGGGATGGAGTCTTCCTGTTACAACATGACTGCACACCAGTGCACAAAGAAAGGTCCATAAAGATATGGAGGAGAGATTTTGGTGTGGATGAACTTGACCTCAACCCAATAGAACACCTATGGGATGAACTAGAGTGGAGACTGTGAGCCAAGCCTTCTCGTCCAACATCAGTATCTGACCTCACAAATGTGCTTCTGAAGGAACGCTCAATAACTCCCATAAACATTGAACCTGTGGAAAGACTTCCAGGAAGAGTTGCAGCGTGTGTTATAAATCCATTGCAGGAAATACCACTGAAGCAGGACAAAAACAGACTATTAATAAAAATGTAGGGCATTTTGGACATTAGGCAGTGCACCTGGGTTGTGGGATTATCTTCCACATGCCTGTTTAACCTTGCAAAAACATATTTTTCTTTTCCTTTGCATTCTAAATTAAAACCTCTTTAACACTATTTAAATACTATTTACCCCGTTGGTACAGTTCTGTTGTTTCACGGTGATGCAGAAATGCTGTTTTTCCCTCAGTAGGAGAAAACACGCCTCAGCTGTTTTATTTTATTTGATGTAGGGAGGAAGTCCTTCTTCAATAACGGCTTCTGCTCTGCTGCCACTGACAGAGATGAAACAAAGTGCTTCAGCCACAGTTCTTGATAGAGATTTTTCATTAAGCAGCCGGACTCCACAGGAACGAGAAGAGGACGGTTTCTATCAGAGGCTGCAGAGCCAAGGGCCTTTATGGGAGACTATGTGGTGAAGAGACTCTTGTGTGAGTGATGAGTCTGCCTGAGGACAAAGGGCCGATGTTCTCGGGACATAGGATTGGCTTTAATGTGGGAAGGTGCTCGAGAGACAGAATCAACCCCTAAAGCTCATTCCTGCTCATATATTGTCTTTATCAGCAGGCCTCCGCGCTGCGGTGGAGGGCTGGCACCAATTCGTCTGGCTTCTGATGGGACCTAAATCACTGATATTATCTGGTGAAGTCAACAGAGCGAGACGAGGTCGCTTTCTATTTTTGATATGGGGAAAACCTGCAAAGACAGACAGCATAAAGAATAAACGCTGGATACTTTTAACACCGCAAATGTTTGAAGTCTACGTTAAAATCGAGCTCGCACAGAAAGTACAGGTCATTACAGAACAGGTTTGCTGCTCTTTGCAGTTACATTATGTTATTATTCATATTAATGGTGATGATATTGTTCTTATTTTTTTATAATTATTATTTCAATTTGCAAATTCAAAGTGAAAAAAGAAAGATGCTGCATAAATTTTATGTCAGCAACATATCCATCCATCCTTCT